TTTGGGTCCTTTAAGGTCACCTGGACCCCCCAGACCCCAAAATTGGGTCACCTGGATACCTGAGACCCCCAAATTGAGGTGACCTGGACACCTGAGACCCCCAAATTTGGGTCACCTGGATACCTGAGACCCCCAAATTTGGGTCACCTGGACACCTGAGACCCCCAAATTTGGGTCACCTGGTCACCTGAGACCCCCAAATTTGGGGATCTCGAGGTCACCTGGACGTTGAGACCCCCCAAATTTGGGTCACTTGGACACTTAAAACCCCCAAATTTGGGTCATTTGGACACCTGAGACCCCCCAAATTTGGGTTCTTTAAGGTCACATGGACCCCCCAGACCCCCAAACTGGGGGACCCCCATAACCGGGATCCCCAAATTTGGGTCCTTTAAGGTCACCTGGACCCCCCAGACCCCCAAATTTGGGTCCTTTAAGGTCACCTGGACCCCCCAGACCCCAAAATTGGGGTTTCTCAATGTCCCCTGGACACCTGAGACCCCCAAATTTGGGTCACCCGGACACCTGTGACCCCCAAAACCCGGCCCTTCACCTGCCGACGATGAGCAGGTGCCTCGGGCTCGCCCGGGGCCGGAGCCGCTGATAAACGTCGAAGGTGAAAAGGGCCCCGGAGCTGGCGAAGATCGAGGCCAGCGACGACATCAGGGCGGCCAAAACCACGGCCAACATCAGCCCCCGCAGCCCTGAGGGAGGGGAGGGGTAAAAAAAGGGGGGGATCGGGGGGGAAAGACCCCCCCCAGGCCCCCTAATTGCCAAAAAAATGGGATTAATAGATAAAAAAATGGGATTAATAGCCCCAAAAATAGGATTAATAGACGCAAAAATGGGATTAATAGTCCCAAAAATAGGGTTAAGAGCCTCAAATTAGGATTAATGGCCTCAAAATGCTGTTAATAGCCCCAAAAATAGGGTTAATAGACGCAAAAATAGGATTAAGAGTTCCAAAAATAGGGTGAAGAGCCCCAAAATAGGATTAATAGCCCCAAAATTAGGATTTAAAACCCCAAAAATAGGATTAATAGCCAAAAAATTGCACTAAAAATGGAAAAAAACTGCCCCAAAATGGAACAAAATTGCACTAAAAATGGAACAAAGTTGTGCCAAAATGGAACAAAAATGACCCCAAAATGGTCCCAAATAGGCGAAAATGAACTAAAATTGCCCTAAAATGGCCCCAGATTGCACCAAAATGACCCCAAAATAGGATTAATAGCCTCAAAATTAGGATTTAAAACTCCAAAAATAGGTTTAATAGCCAAAAAATAGGGTTATTAGCCCCCAAATAGGATTATTAGCCCCCAAATGGGATTAATAGCCCCGAAATAGAATTAATAGACAAAAATATGGGATTAATAAATAGACCCAAAAATAGGATTAATAGCCCCAAAAATATGATTAATAGCCCCCAAAATAGGATTAATAGCCCTAAAATTAGGATTATTAGCCCCCAAAGAGGATCAATAGAACCAAAATTGGGATTAATTGCCCCAAAATGGGGTTAATAGCCCCAAAATAGGGTTAATAGCCCCCAAATAGGATTATTAGCCCCCAAATGGGATTAATAGCCCCCAAATAGGGTTAATAGCCCCCAAATAGGATTAATAGCCCCAAATAGGATTAATAGCCCCAAAAATGGGATTAATAGCTCCAAAATTAGGATTTAAAACCCCAAAAATAGGATTAGTCGCCCAAAAATATGATTAATAGTCCCCAAAATAAGATTAAAAGTTCCAAAAATAGGATTAATAGCCCCAAAATATGATTAATAGCCCCAAAATAGGATTAATAACCCCTAATGACCATTAATAACGCCCTAATAACCACTAATGACGTTCTAATAACCCACCTGGGGGCAGCAGGCCGAGCACCAGGCGGGGATAGGCCACGTTGGAGCAGCCGACGGGGGAGCCGCAGGCCCGGGCGCAGCCCTGGGGGTCCGCACAGCCCACGACCTCTGGGGGGGGGGAAGGGGGAGGGAGGGTCAGACCCCAACAGGCACCAGAAGGGGGGATTTGGGGTGGGAGGGACCATTCTTCAAGATGGCCACCCGATGATCCAAGATGGACGCTTGGTCGAGCGTTAAATATGTGATTATTCAAGATGGCCGCCCTACAGGGTAGGTTGTCCTGGTGACAATCCAAGATGGCCTCCAAGTGGAGGATTCAAGATGGCTGCCTAATATGGCCTCCCAGTGGAATATTCAAGATGGCCGCCCTCGTGAATATCTAAGATGGCCACCCAATATGGCCACCCTTGTGAATATTCAAGATGGTTGACCGAGTGAATGTCCAAGATGGCCTCCCAGTGGAGGATTCAACATGGCTGCCCAAGATGGCCGCCCAATATGGCCGCCTGAGTGAATATCCAAGATGGCTGCCGAATATGGCCGCCCTCGTGAATATCCAAGATGGCTGCCCAATATGGCCGCCGTAGTGAATAATCTAGATGACCGCCCAATAGACTATTCAAGATGGCTGCCCAAGATGGCCGCCCAATAATATATCCAAGATGGCCGCCCAAGATGGCCACCGTAGTGAATAATCAAGATGGCCGCCCAATAGAGTATTCAAGATGGCTGCCCAAGATGGCCACCCAATATGGCTGCCCTCGTGAATATTCAAGATGGCTGCCCAATATGGCTGTCCTAGTGAATATCCAAGATGGCCGCCCAAGATGGCCACCCAACATGGCTGCCCAATATGGCTGCCCCTGGTGACAATCTAAGATGGCGTCCCAGTAATGTATTCAAGATGG